ATTCTTGAAGAGATTAGTCTGGGTAGCAAAAAGGCTCTCCATACATCTTGAATCTCTTTGCTCTTAATAGCTTCTGAGAGAGCCATGGTGAACCATGAAGGTCCATGAGCCCTTGAAGCAAAAGGCGCCATGGTCTCTTCGAACTTATGCCTCTTGGAGAATATCATGATGTACTTTGAGAATAGGACTTTGAAGTCATCCTTATCATCATTTGGAGTTAGTCTTCGCAGCCTAGTGCCTTCGATCATTCTATCCATTATTTCAGGGTCTTGTTCAGCAATGGTGTTGGCCGTTGACAATGAAGGTTCGAACATGGCATTTAGCCACAACTGAAGCAACCAAAAAGGGCCAGCTAACAGGATATTCTTGGAGGTGTGAGATTTTAGGCTCGAAACAGCTGACCTTAGGCTTTCATAAAGATCAACTAGTAGCAATTCGCTCAAGCACACTCTTCGATTCTCGTGCAAATCTCTAGCTAGAGGAATAAACCTACTGGCTACCTGTAGGGATCTACTGCAAAAGACATATCTTGACAGCCATAAGGTAAGGAAAGCAATGTGTTCTACATCAGATACACTGTCTCCTTCAGCATGGTAGTGGCTGATAAACTTTGAAAAGCTTGCTAGTTTGACTTCGAAGTCGATTATACTCGAATGTTCTTCGTTGTCAGGGATATATGTTTCTCCTACTGGTGATAGCCCAGTGATGGCCGTTATGTCAAAGAAGGTAGGGGTAATCATTCCACCAGGGAGATGGAAAGTATTATAAGTACTGTCCCAGAAATATAGGGACGCAAATAGCAATGGGTGGCTGTAAGTAAAACCTGGCTTCGACAGCTTAATCAAGTTGTAGATACCTAATTCTTCCCATTGCTGGGATTTCTTAGCTTCTACCTTATTGAACCAGTTTTGATAAGCAGTGTCGGAGGTGGGGCAAGATCGAAACGGTTTGAAGTTACTCTTTACATAGTCTAATACAAAAGGGTCCTTAGGAGGAACAATTGGATTTTCCACGGTGTTTGAGCCAGAAGATTCTGTTGCCTTAGGGGCGTCCATTTTATTAAACAGGGGTTTGAAATTATAGCAAACTGGGAAAAATTTTCTGGTGTCTTTTAAAATTTCAAAAACTGTAAGAGGGCCCATTAAAGCTAACCTCTTACCAGCAGCGGTGGTAGGAATAAGTACCTGGGATGCATAAAGCATTTCTTTCTCCTTTGAGATCATCTGGGGAACAAGAACATATTGACCTTGGTGAGTGACAACCTTGCTTTCCATGGTAGTTCCTGCGGTCTTTCCTTTCTTTTTGGAAACCTTTTTGAGTTGGGATGAAGTAGAAGAAGACATTGTTGGAAGAATGTTGAAAGCTTAGGGTTTCAGTGAGAAAATAAGGAGAAAAGATTCAGAATATGGAAAGAAAAGAAAAAGACTAAGTTGATGGGTTTTTATAATATGGAAGTTTAAGCAACCACTGAGTAAGGTTGTGATACGTGGTAATCATGGGTTGGTTTGATGAAGAGGTGACGTAAAATTAACATTGGTAATAGGCGTGGTTAAAGATAATCATTATTTTGTAACTGCACCATACTGTGAAGTGGTTCAAGGCGGTTAAGGAATCTAAAAAGTGTTATGATTGACGTGACTGGAGTCAAATGCAATAAATGTTACGATGATTCGAAGGTCGCATCAAAATCTTGTGTATATGTTTAAAATAAGTATTTCTCAAAGGGATCGAAATACATATTTTAAAGGGGCATTTTGTTGGCTGAAGATTTTGATAGTATTATTAGAAGCAAAGTAAATGAGACGTTTCGATCGAAATGAAACAAAACGTCATGTTTCGAAATAGTAGAAGTAATGCTTCGAATGAGCATATCAAAGCTTGGAGCTTCGAGTGACAATTATGAGAATATATCCAAAGAAGTCTCGAAATGATAACAAGGCTGTGTCTAAGAAGTGCGTTCGAAGCGAAGAAGTGCCAAAACATTTGAAATTCAAATGCAAGCGGGATGTTCGAAATTTGAAATATATGCGCTGGAGCATTCGAAGACGCGTGGAAGCAAGAGAGAGGCATTGCTCTGCATGTTCTGAACGTGGCAGAATCTTATAGCAAGACCGTTATGGTCGAAGTAGTATAAATAGAAGTCTTAGTATTAGGATTTCGTGTGTCATATCTATTGTACAAAAAACTCAGTAAACATTCAAATTACCACATGGCTAGGGAAACGAATGCAAGAGCAATGTACGTATGATAACACCACATGTTTATAATTCAATGAAAACCCTTTATCATTTTCAGTACTTTCCTTTATCTTTATATCAATACCATTTACAAGTTTTTGCATCTAAAGTCTTTTTATTCGAAATCTTTTCACTGATGCCTTACATTTAAATGCTTTCCTTCCATTTTCAAATACATTACATTTCAGAAACTGTTATACATTTCATGCCTTTATCTTCAAGTTTTTATCCTTCGAACACATTTTTTTTACTTAAAGTCATTTTACAGTTTTCTTGCATTAAACGCTTTCTTCATATTTCGAATCTTTTACATTAACCGTTTTCCTTACGTTTCGAAGTCATTTACCTGTCTTTTATGCAGTTTTTACATGTCTTTACAATTAACTTTTATTCATGCAATTTAGTTCCGTGCACATATATTTTTATTACACCTTTATATCTTTAAGAGAGAAATCGAAATAAGTCAAACACCTATACAACATTCTAAATACCAACCATGAATACATGTTCGATCATGAGAGTTACCCTAATGACCAACACGTCCTAGGATCAATCTAGTCGATCCTGCGAGTTACCAGAGAAATTGAATAACAGTCAGTAAGTTTATTCGATAGTTTGGAGGACTAGCGGTTGTTTACCAGAAATCACTGTAAACATTATGTCAGAACATTATCTAAAACAAGTAAATATGTTCATCAGAGTATCAATTATATAAAATATAATTTATTGTTATCATCAAAACTCTGAGATATGATCAGAACCAATCTTGTTCTAACATATATTACATTTGAAAGTGATTCGTAATTGGTGATTCAAACTACTAACGCTAATATTTCTGTTAACTCTGAATTTAGCAATGATCATTTCTAATATTAAAAATCTTATAGCTTCTCACAATGATTTTGCGGTCAAATTTGTTAAACATCAAGCAAATTATGTAGCTCATAATTTAGTTAGGTTGACCAACTTTTGATCTAGGCGTATATTCCTATATTTAAGTCCTCCTTATACTAAAGGATATTTGATTAATAATATGAATTGAGTTTGCTTCAGTTAAAAAAAATCTTTGTTTGTATAAATTTAATGAAAAAAAATAATGTGTTCTTTTAAATATAAGAACTCTTAAAATTTATAAGCGTATTTATTTTTTTAAATATAAGTGTATTTATTTTTTTAAATATTTTATCTGTCTTAAAATAAATTTTTTTTAAATTGTCAAATACAAATTAAAAAAAAAATTGAAATTAATTAAAAAGAATATAAAAAATATTTATTAGAAGTAAAGTTGATAAAAATTAACTATTGTTACATTAAAAAAATAAAAATAATAAACTATCATTTTTAAGACAATATTTTTAAATTAAAAAAACACTTATTCAAAGACATCCATACACAAAGAGTAACCATATTGAATATTGAAAAAATATATACATCAATTAATTATTCATATATACTCATTCTTCTATATATTGCGCAATATAATTTTAAAAGTGATCAAATAAGTGTAGCAAAGACAAAATGACAACCCAAAAGGTAAAAGCAAACCAAACGGAAGCGTGTGGCATACATGCAGGGTGCCGGAACTAAAGACTAAAATCGAACATAAATCTCGTATTCATTTATTAAATCGTTGAATTCAAATGGAACAAAAAATCTATTCAAATTTTACATAATATATTATTATAAATTTTCAGCTTCTTCTAAAAATACGCTATTATTGCAAAATATATACTCAATTTAATGTTAGATAAAAAATTAATAATAAAATTTTAAATACATATTTTTTGAATTAAATAATCACATTCAATATCATATCTTTTTTATATTTATTTTTTAAAATAATTTAATATTTTAGCTCAATTTTCATTAAAGGTAAATATTCAACTAATTATCAAGAGTATTTAAGAATTTGTTAAATTAAAATGAATACAAAATAAATAACTAACAAAAATCATTTAAGTCTTTGATATAATTAAGAGTTAAATAATTATATATTGATAATATAAAATAATTTTATATTATTATTTAATAAAAACATATTCCTTAATCATATTACATCATTAATTTAAATATTACAATCTGGTATGGTATTATACATATTTGTGATTGATTAATATTGTAAATTTAATTTCAATGTATCATGTATTTTTTCTATAATTATATAAATTTAAAGTAATTTTTATTAAAAAAAAATGTAAATTTATAACACTTCAATAGGTAATGATTTACTAATTTCTCAACTCAATCAAATTTTTGGAAATTAGTCGGAGTAAAACAGAAAAAGAAATTATTAGTACTACAATTAATGAAAGGAAACATAAAGTTTAGGATTAAAACAGAAACGGAAGGTGAGAGAGGAGAGAAATGCGTGTGAATAAAGTAAGAAGTTTGGTCCTTGCGTGGTTCTATGTGATTGGTGCCACGTACTCGTTTTCATAAAAGCTACACCACGTGTTCCTTACCCAAACAGACCGTGATTTGATGAACGATCCAGATGTTATCAAAGCAACATGCACATTGCCCCTGACGGTGACGGGCAGACTGCCCGTGATTGTAGTGTGGCCCCCAGGTGAATTTCATATCTACAAAAAGCTTCTCTCTTAAACCATTCTTATGGGTCCTATGCTTTCTTCTCTCTCATCTTCTCTCGTTCTCTGCTTCCACCATTCATATTCATACACAAATTAATTAATTTTATTTTAAATTTACAATATAACTAAATTTGAGTTTTTGTCTAAGTTTTAAGCTATTTAAGAACAATAAATGGCTGGAATGTGCTGTGGTTTTGTTGGAGAAGGTGATTCTTCGGCGAGTTCACGTTCTTCTCGACGCCGCAATTTAGACATGTTGCCTTTCAAATACATCGCTGACATGGCTGTTTCCTCCTCCGGAACTTCACGGAAACGCCGTCAGTCGGATCTCAGTGGTAAGAAAGATTTTGAAAGCTGCGAGGACTCAAACGGTGACCATGGAAACGATAAAAGCAAGAAGAACAAGAACGGATCATCCCAAGTTTCTGAAAACAAACCTTCAACCGAAGGTAATTTGGAAGAGGGAGAGTTTCCGAAGTTCGGAGTTACTTCAGTGTGTGGTAGAAGAAGAGACATGGAAGATTCTGTTTCCGTTCAAACTTCCTTCTACGAAGAACTGTTTCACTACTTCGGCGTTTTCGACGGTCACGGCTGCTCTCATGTACGTATATGCTTGATTACTAGTTTGTTAGGTTTCCGGTGTTAATTTGTTTTGTTGTTGTTACTCTTAGGTTGCGACTATGTGTAAGGAGAGACTCCATGAGATTGTGAAGGAGCAGATCAACGAATCGCAGGAGAATTTCGAGTGGAACAGCACTATGCAACAAGGCTTTGCTCGCATGGATGACGAAGTGCAGAAATGGAACAGCAGCAGCCAAACTGTTTCTTGTAGGTGCGAGCTTCAAACTCCTCACTGCGACGCGGTTGGATCTACCGCGGTTGTTGCTGTTGTCACTCCGGACAAAATCGTCGTTTCCAACTGCGGCGATTCTCGCGCTGTTCTCTGCCGGAACGGCGTCGCCATCCCACTCTCCTCCGACCACAAGGTTATTTTTCAAGTTTTTTATTATTATTATTTTTTTTTGAAATTTTCATCTATTAACAAACAAGTATGAGTTAGTTTGTAACTGCTTTTGGATCCGTTTTCAGCCGGATCGACCCGATGAGTTGCTCCGAGTCCAAGCTGCTGGAGGGCGCGTGATATACTGGGATGGTCCGAGAGTGCTTGGTGTACTTGCCATGTCTAGAGCTATAGGTGAGTGAGTCATCAGTGCGCATGATAACTTAATGATCTTAAATTTAAATTCCGCTCATTTTAGCCTAGCATGGTCGGTTTTAATTTAATAATTTATTTATTTATCTAACTTTGTTTTCAACGTTATTCCAATGTTATTCCGTTTTATTTATTTTTAGGCGACAATTATTTGAAGCCGTATGTGATATCTGAACCTGAAGTAACGGTAACAGAGAGAAGAGAAGGAGACGAGTGTTTGATACTGGCTAGTGATGGACTATGGGATGTTGTTTCAAACGACACTGCATGCGGTGTTGTGAAGATGTGTTTGAAGTCGCATAAGGTTGCGCCGCCGGGGTCTCTGGCTAACAATGATGTCACTACTGATGGTTCTGATCGTGCATGTTCTGATGCATCCATTCTGTTGACTAAGTTGGCTTTGGCGAGACACAGTTCGGATAATGTTAGTGTGGTGGTGATTGATTTGAGGAGAGATCAACGTCCATCATCAAATTCCAACAATAATTAGATTAATTAGTCAATTAATTAATCTAAGGGCGGTGAGAAGCAACATAATGAAACAAAAATGTGTTTAAGGACTCAGGATGCGGAGAAAATGAAGGGGTACGTGGCTTTTGTTAATCAACTGTTCTTTCGTGTTATGTAATGGGATGGTATTTTAGGTATGTTTTGAGTTATGATCAATCTAAAAAATGTAATTTTGTGGTACAATGAACATTTTAAGTGTAGAGTAAATGTGTGTCAACAAAGGAATCAAATCGAGCCAGTTGACACACATTTCTTTTGTTTATAATGGAATCTTTAAATCTGCTTTGTTCTTATGAAATACTACTACTACTATTAGAACAAATATTTAATTCAGTTTTCCATAATTCTTTAACCCAGCGCATGTTTAGTCGTGCAAGATTATAAGATCACATTAAGTAATTATACTATGATAAGAGAATAGGAATAGGTTATGTATACATGGAGTAGCATAACTAGTAATGTTTAGTCGTGCAAGATTATAAGATCACATTAAGTAATTATACTATGATAAGGGAATAGGAATAGGTTATGTATACATGGAGTAGCATAACTAGTATTTTAGTATGATTGTCAACATGCATTTAGATAAATGAATATTAGTTATTTTAATGAATTAATTGTTAGTGTACAAGGTTAAAAAATAAGAAAGAAATGAGAGAATAACATTAAAGTTTGCGATCTGCGATGACAGCTATAAAGTTGTAAGGAAGAATGATTGAATATTTTTATGACATTTATCATTAATTTAAATTGTCACTTAAATCTTAACAAAAGGTAAACTTAAAAGACTAAGTTAACAAGTAGATTAGACTTAACAGTTACGCGAACAAAATAAACTAGAATCTAGAAGTTAAATATATTTCTGGATTAAACGTATTTCTGAGTGTAATCTCAGAAGTTTCTGCTTCTGACTAACAATTTCAGAAGCTTTACTACTTATGAGTAATATATCAGAAGTTTTTGATTCTAACAGTAGTTTTCGAATATGAATTACTTTCAATATCATCCCTTAATTCATATTCAGCTAATCAAAAATCAACAATACTAACTCTATCCCTTAGACGAATAAAGTGTTCAGTCTTGACATATTTCGTCAGAATATCTGTAAGTTGCTTCTCATTGTTATAGTGTGCAACTTCTAATATTTCATTTAGAAATGCAGATTTCTCTTTGAAAATTCATCTGACGCTGATGGCTTTCTTCTCTTTTGGAACTTCAGTTAACTCACAAATCTTATTTCTTTGTGGCCTCTGGACTTGTTCAGAATCTACTTCTGATTCTGTAATAGAATCTCTTTCTGGACTTTCTTCAGAAGTTCGACTACCATCAGAAGCTCCACCTCTGTTAGCTTCTGGACTTTGTCCAGAACCACTACCTTCAAAAATATCATCTTCAAAAGTTAGATTGCCTTCAAAAGTTATGCCTTCAGAAATTCCACCTTCAGAATCATGACCTCCTTCAAAAGTTGGATCACTTTTAGAAGGCCCACCTTTAGAGTCATGATTACCACGAGAAAAATAATCATTTCCATAAGCTTGTCCTCCAGAACCCATGTCTTCAGAGTTTTCCCTTCTAGAAGCATGATCACCGCCTGATTTAAAATCTGAATCAGAATCAGATTCACCATCTGACTTATCTTCAGTTTCCAGAATCATCATTTGACTTTGACACTTCTTCAGAACTTTCAAGTTTTGATTTATCTTCAGAAGAAAAATCTCCTTCAGATGTTGACTCATCTTATGATTCTCCTTCAGATTCAGAATCACCTTCAGATTCTGACTTGTCTTCGGCTCAGAGCCATCTTCTAACTCTAACTTATCTTCAGAAATCTCAGATTCTAACTCATCTTCACAATTTTCAGATTTATCTTCTGATTCTGACTCATATTCAAACACTCCAAAGTCAGAATATTCTGAGTCATCTTCTTCCCCTTCAGAATTAGAAAATGACAATCACACTGGTTCCTCATCAGATTCATAAGCCATCAATAGTACAAATTCGTCATCAGAATATCCTCTGACTATTTTTACTTATTCTTTATTTGACCAACAATCTTTAGCAAGGTGGTCAAACCTATTACAACAGTATTATTGAACAATTCTCTTGTCATACTTTTCATTTCCCTTATGATGTTTCTTTTAATCACAGTAGAAGACTTCAGACTTATAAGACCTATCACGTTCTTTCCACTTCTAATCCTTCTTGACAAAAAAAGTTTTCAGAGCCTGCTCAACCTCCCTCTTAGAAGTTCTTTCAATTAGACGCAACTCTTGCGGCTCTAGACTTCTTTGCAGCTCTTCTATTCTCATAGTGTCCAGATCTTTAGAATGTTCAATTGTTACAACAGTGTAATCAAATTGAGGAGTAAGAGACCTTAATATCTTCTTAATAATTACTTGTTCAGAATGAGTTTCTTCACAAGCTTTCGTCTCATTAATGATCAGAATCAATCAGGAGATGTACTCATAAATCTTCTCGTTGTTCTTCATGTTGAGATTCTCATACTGCTTTATGAGAGACTGAAGCTTCACTTTCTAGACTGATGCGTCACCACCGTAACACCTACTCAGTATGTCCCATGCCTCCTTCTTCGTCGTTGAATCAACAATTTTCTTAAACACATTCACATCCACACACTGATAAATATAGAACAACGTCTTCTGATCTTTCTTCCTTGTAACTCTCTGCGCATTTTTGTTACTTCATCGTATCTGCTGCAACTGGAACATAATCATCGTTGACGAGATCAAGAACATCTTGAGCGCAAAACAACACACGCATCTGAATCATCCAACGATTTTAGTTTTTGTTATTAAATACTGAAAGATTGGTGCTTAGACTACCATTTCCGATCATCTTCAACTTTGTGCAAGTCCCTCAGATCTCACAAACACAATGTTTCTCAATCCCACACAATTAGAAAATATGATTCTATTCAGATTTTGTTCAAGATTCAACACGAATTCAAGAATCAAAATCAATCACACAATGTCTCATCATTTCACTCGTGTTTTCCGTGGATCCGAACCGAAACTCTAGATACCAAATGTTAGTGCACAAGGTTAATAAATAAAGAAAGGTATGAGAGAATAATATTAAAGCTTTGCAATAACGGGTATAAAGTTGTAAGGAAAAATGATTGAACATTTTTATGACAGCTACCACTAATCTATGTATACACAAAGTAAATTGTCATGTAAGTTCTAACAAAAGGTAAACTTAAAGACTAAGTAAACAAACATATTAAACTTAACAGTTACACTAACAAAATAAACTCAAACTTTAGAAGTTAAATATACTTCTGAGTGTAACTACATAAGCTTCGATTTTTGATTAACAACTTCAGAAGCTCTATTATTTCTGAATAACACTGCTTTAAACTTCATATTCTAATCGTAATTTCTGATTATAAAACATTAATTTATATAATTGTGCATGACAATACTTTATAAAAAAAATTAAATTAAATCTTAAATTGTGTCCTAAAAAGACCTCTAATTTAAAAGAGGCTTGACAGTTATGAGATAAATGATAAATATTTGTATGACGTGTACGTGTAGACCAGCTCAGTGACCCACTATCAGAGCCAAGGGCCAGGTTTTAGGTACGTTACTATTTTAATTTAATATACACATGTGTAGTATCTACAACTTAGATAAAAATCTTCATGTGGCTTAATCCTAAAACCATCTTATTATCTTTTGAAAGGTTCTTGTACTTAAAACATTCAATTTATCTACAAACGAATGTTGGGTCTACCTTACTCAGTGTTACATTGTATGGACTATTTTACTTCTTCTTTTTTTGGGCGATAAGTATTGTGCTTTAATACGGGTGGGGGATTCTCTCGAGAAATTATCTTAAGGAGTTCAGTGTTCATCTTTACAATTTAGTATTGTGCTTTAATATGGGTGGGGGATTCTCTCGAGAAATTATCTTGAGCAGTTCAGTGTTCATCTTTATAATTTTATTGTTACTGCGTGAGACATTTTTATTGAGAAGAAAAATAGAGAATAATAACAGAAATAAGAATTATATTATTATTTGTTGTATTGTACAAAATAAAGATATACATTATGATTATTTATATACAATTTTAATTGGGCTTGAGCTTACATAATTTAGATTATATTTAAATATTAAATTTAATTTAATCAAATATAATCTAATATTTCAACATACTCATTTAATTCAAGTTGTCGAACCTATGCTAATCATATTCGATTTGAACTATTCTTAATTTTTTTTTCAAATTCAGGAATTTATCGATCTTCAACCTTTTGATGAAGATGTCGGTCAACTGTGCTTCACTTGAGCAATTTCTTACTTTAAGTTCACCTCGATTTACCTTTTTCCTAAATAAATGAAATCTAGCTTCAATATGCTTACTCTTTTCATACAGAACTGAATTCTTCGCCAGATTTATGGCTAACTTGTCGATTTGCAACACAAGAGGTTTCTTCACTTCGACCTTCATTTCTTCAAGTACAAATCTGATCTAAATTGCTTGACACGCAGCATATGATCCCGCTATATATTCAACTTCACACGATGATAATGTCACCATAGGTTGCTTCTTCGAACATCATGGGATTTGAGCATCAAATACTTAAAAGAAATATCCAGTTGTGCTTCTTCGATCTTCCTTATCTCCACACCAATCAACATATGAAAAACAATTAACTATTGCTTCTCTGCCTTCAGAATTTCATCGAAATAGTATTCCATTATTTATCGAACCCTTCAAATATCTCAGGATTCTTCTTGCAACCTTCATATGTGACACTCTTGGTTCACTCATATATCTGCTCACTAATCCGACCGTGAAACCTATATCAGATCGACTGTTGCACACATACCTCAGAGATCCCATAATTTGCTTGAACAAAGTTACATCAACTTTGTCTTCCTCTGCATTCTTCTCCAACTTCACATTTGATTCGACAAGTGAGGATGCAGGATTCGAATCATCTATTTTGA